TTTTATTTATTTTTATATTTCTTCTTTTCTTTTATTTTATTTTCCTTTAAATAAAAGATCTTCCACTTGACCTTCATTACTTTAAAATTTGCTACAGCTTGATAGTTTTTAGTAAATTTTATTACAGTATCAAATTAATTAATCAATTATGCAAGCTCAACAAGTTAGAAGCAAAAAAAAAATAAAAAAAATAAAAAAAAACAATGTATAATTTATACAAAGAGAGAATGCCAATCCTCAGAAAAGCCTAAATGATGGCAAATAGGTAAATACTAAAGATTTATAGGCAGAACCTGTATATCTCTATTTGGTTTGAGCTTGACTAACACAAAATGATTATGTCTATGTTGCAAGATAATAGGCTTTTTATAATGTCAGGTCTTTGATCAAATGGTAAAAAAAAAAGGCTTGATGCAGAATTTTTGCAAAATACTGCTACTGGTATATTAAATGCATCAGATGCTAGCTGTGTACACTCCAGTATATAAAACCAGTACTTTTGTGAGCATCCCAGCTTAATATATGATAAAACATTTATCAATCGCTTAATGTTATATCCAAATATATTAGCATACATATTCTGCTGCCTAGTTAACTAAAGTTTCATAATGGTTTTAACATTTTGCTATTTTTTTTTTCTTTGAATATAGCTACAGCTAGTGATCAAAAACTACAATAACCATTACCAAGTAGATTGTAAACCTGTGATTATAAATATATATTTGAATTAGTTTTTGAAAAAACTATTTTGTCAAATATTTATTTTGATATGAGTGATGCTGAGATCTCAATCATATAAATTTTATATGATTGAGGTCACATTTTCCCTTGGTGTCACCCATATAAGGTCTTAAACAACTATGAAAATTAATTTCAGCAATATGTATACTGTATAAAAAAAACTAACTTAGCAAACCAATTGTTATAAGATGCAATAATCAATTAATTATTTATCAAAAGAAAAATACTGTATATATAATGTTACTTCTAATATCACATTTAGAGGAATGTGTGAATCAAAATTCATATTAGCCAGATGTGGTAGCAAATTATTATCTTTTTTCTTTTTCTTAACTTCAGCTTTTTGAACCTCATCTGCACTATGAATATGCTTGTTACTATGAAAATGACCATATTGATGTTTTGTTGCAGATATCTTAATTTTTTCATAATTGTAATACTGTTAATATTAGTTGTCTCAAAAATACTTTCTTGTGAACTATTTAAATCTTTTTGTAACTCTAGTATTTTGCCACTCTTAAGAATATATTCTGAAGCACTTTGCATAATATCAAATAAAGTACTATAATGACATTTTGGCAACTTTTTGAAAATCTGCTTAGCAAGTTAAGAGATGGAGCCTGAAATATTATCAACTTCTTCAGTATACTGCACATGCCAATGTTGGTGAATCTCACTTGGCAATATACAAGTGTGCAGACACAGTAAATATACTATGATAATATGCTAGCATGAAGTCCTAGTGCACTGTAGATATAAACATATACAAGTACTTGGTATTCTAATATATACTATATATGTTTTACTTATATTACTATTAAGCTTTATTATATTGTATACACTATCATGTTTAAAAACTCCATATTCATCAAATCGTATCAGGTCCTTCTGTTACTTAACATATGTATCAAATGTGAATCATGAGCATATTAAATGCAACTTTTTCAAGCCTACATCTCTATCATCTTGTGTGTGTCTATTTTGATGTAAAAAGGTCTCATATGCAAATTTATGGGTATGTTCTTGATGCTGTTGTCACATAATTGCAAGTAACCTATTGAAATAAAATAAAATAAAATAAATTAAACTTGTCTAATTAGTAATAATGATTGCTTTTAAAAAAAAATAAAATAAAATAAATAAATTAGTTAACTACACATAATTCTGACTATATTGACACTCACCAAAATAAATAAATTATGTGATATATCAATTTAATTAGAGATGCTTTCATGTTATTTAGATTCAAATTTTAAAAAAAGTTCTAAAGCCAGATGTTGTTATATTCAGAGCTCAATATAACCAGAGTAATGTGTAATCGAACTAATTGATTAAAATTTTATATCTGTTATAGTTGATTATAATTAGCAGAAAAATTTAAAAATTGCAATTAGTTAGTTATCCTATTCTTATCTATCAATTGGAGTAATATAATTCTCAAAGCCTTTTAATTTGCTATAAAAACTCTCAACATGCTAGCTTGATTTTATATTGAGATTGATATTTCCTTTCGTATATAATGCAAGCCAACTTTCTCTATGCAGCATCTATGTTTCATATATATACTTTTTTGTGCTTGCAAATTGAGTCCATAGGTTAGTAATTTTTTTATTAGTCTAATCTTCTGAAAGATCATCATACATCAACTTTCTAATAGCTTGAGTAAATTCATCGAAACAGATACCCTTAAGCTTATTTCTGATATTTTTAAAAATGTGCCATGTGCACAATTGATGCCTTGTATTGGGAAATACAATAGATATTGCAGACATAAGGGCCAATTCTCAATTAGTTATAATTGTTGCTATGTGTGAATCACCTGTAACAATCATTAGCACCCTATGTAACTGCTGCAATACCCAACAATAAAAATCCTTTGTTTCGGTATATACAAGTGTGAAAGCTAAAGGATATGTTGACCCAAATTGATTAATACTGCAAACAACAATCAATAGCATTGAAAATCTATTAATTAAAAAAAAAGTATTAATTAAATAAATAATAAATTAGAAATATTATCATGTATGGGCATATATAGTTTGCTAAAATATTAATAAACAAGTATTGAATAAGTGCTCTCTCTCAGTAAAACAAAAAGTTAAAAGTCAAAGTAAAAATAAACAAAAATTAAATAAATAAATTATATTAAATAAAATAAATAAATAATTAAATTAATTAATTAAATTAATTAAACAAATAAAATAAAATAAATATATAAATAAAATATATAAAAAAACCTGTTCATTCTATAAGTAGCATCAATAATTAAGACATCTTTTACTACTACAAACTCAAAAGCCATACTTCAATATGTCCAGAAGATTGCTTGAATAAAGATCCATCTTGATCATGCACATTATTATATGTATGCTTTGTTGCTATACTTGCTATGATGTTTTCATCATTTTGCAATATTCTAAGCAACATCTTAATTTCATATAGCCCTTGCAACTTTTGCTGATGTTGATGACTCACAGCATTTTAAACATTGTGTTTATGTACATACTTCAAACTTATAGAGATTAGAACAACATATATATCCTTTGTTTGAAGTCCAGTATCATGAAGCTTCTCAATTGTGCCTAGTTCGTCCTGATCAAATTTGTGCATATTACTACTAAACTTTCTAGCATCTGAATAAATTTTGTGATTGTGCTTCAAGTGTAATCGGGTTATGGCAAATTTATTTGTATGCTTATGGTAATTTATTCCAATAACAAAAGAACAACCTATCTACTTAGTAGTATATGCTTCTTTTTTTCCATTATAACTCACCTGTTTTTTATAAGCAAAAAGTACCTGTCTATAACCACTACCATTAGAATTTTTTGTTGTTTTTGCCATGATTATAACAATGTTGGTTTGTGCAACATAATTTTCTATAAACACACAAGCTTCATCAAAAGTAGAAAATTCATTCCTTATTTTAAGAACAAGAGTTTTATTAGTAGCCATGTAATAGAATTAACAAAGAATAGAAGCAAATAACAGAAATCAATATAAGCAAATAATTGATGAAAAATGCCAACAATGAAGAAATATGAAATTAGAGCAGTATAAGATTAATTAATCTATCACTATTATTATTTATATTATTTAAATATGCAATCTTATTGGTTGATAAAAATTGATGAAAAGTATGCTATTTTATTGGGCTGATAATTTTTTTTTGATGTACTGATGTATGCAAATAATTGTCAAATTTTAAGAAACTCAATTAACACTGTGATTTCATTAGCCAAACCTAAATTGATGTATGTGAAGTTACATGAAACTGATATATGAAAATCATTTCTCTATGTTAATTTTGATCAGTTTTACCTAGTTTCGCCCAGTTTCGGACATTTTGGACATTTCAGAAGTTTTGCTCAGTTTTGTACATTTCACCCAGATTTGGATGTTTCATCTAGTTTCAAAAGTTTTACTCAGTTTTGAACATTTTGTCCAGTTTCAGACGTTTCACTCAGTTTTGGGTTTGGGGCAAAACTGAAATTCAAAAGCTAAAATGTTTCGAACTTTGGTAAAGGGTTTAGGCCGTAACACTATTAATGAGTATAAAGAATATTTATTAATCATTTAAATTTTGAACTGCAAAGCAAGTTCACAAATCAAGAAAATAAATACTTATTTACCATTCTATTATATAATAACTATTATGTAATATCCTTCAAATCATTTCATTCACATTAATCATTCATTCAGTCAGTAAATGTAAAGAACATTTATTAATCTTGGAATTTTGAACAGAAAAGCAAGTTCATAAACCAAGAAATAAATACTTATTACCATTACTATTATGTAATACCCTTCAAATCATTTCATTCGAATTAATCATTCATTCAGTAAGTGAGTATAAAGA